TCCCAGGTGTGTGTGGGGCAGGCGACCAGGGTCCCTGGGTGTTCCCAGGTGTGGGGGGGGCAGGCGACCAGGGCCCCAGGGCGTTCCCAGGTGTGGGGGGGGCAGGCGACCAGGGTCCCTGGGTGTTCCCAGGTGTGGGGGGGGCAGGCGACCAGGGCCCCAGGGCGTTCCCAGGGCGGGGGCGGGCCTGGGGCCTGGATGCTGCTCACCAGGACCGCCTGCAGACCTGATGACGGAGATGACGGACCTCAGCAGTGACCTGGAGGCCAGCGGCATCCCCTTTCTGGATTACCACACCTACGCCCAGCGAGTCTTCTTTCCAGGCCATGGTGGCTGCCCGCTGCAGCCCACGGCCGACAGGGCCGAGGACGAAGGCCGTGGGGCCACCGTGCGCCAGGGCCTCCTACAGCTCTCCCACCTGCTCAACTGCAAGCTTTTCCTGCTCAAGGTGAGGGCCGGAGCGGGGGTGGGGGGGAGCAGACGGGCAGGGCGGGGGGGGTCACACGCCAGCTCCCCCCCAGCTCATCCACACGCTGGAGGCGCAGCCCAGCTTCTCCCAGCGCGACCGCTGCCACGTGGCCTCCCTGCTGTCCCTGGCGCTGCACAGCAAGCTGGAGTACCTGACCGACATCCTGAGGACGCTGCTTGGAGACCTGGCTGCGCACTACGTGCACAAGAACCCCAAGCTCATGCTGCGCAGGTGGGCCCGGGACAGAGATGCAGGGGGGGGGGGCTCGGGGAGGCCTGAGAGCCGGGACCCCAGCCTGAGCGAGGCCGCCTTCGCAGGACTGAGAGCATGGTGGAGAAGCTGCTCACCAACTGGCTGGCCATTTGTCTGTACAGCTTCCTGAGGGTGAGGGCACTGGCTGCCGGTCGTCCTCAGGCCCGCGTTGCTCAGGGTGGGTCTTGGGGACAGAAGCAGGACACCAGCACCCTCCCACCCAGGGACCCACGAACAACACAGCACCAGGGAATATGAAAGAGCCTCAACGTGGGAGACGGGAGGGTGGGTTTGGGAGCCGAGTCCCTCACACATCAGGCCCATCTTGATGGTCACAGGAGGTGGCTGGGGAGCCGCTGTACATGCTATTCCGGGCCATCAAGTACCAGGTAGACAAGGGTCCTGTGGATGCCGTGACGGGCAAGGCCAAGCACACTCTGAATGACAGCCACTTGCTGCGTGAGGACGTGGAGTTCCGGCCCCTGACACTCACGGTGCTGGCAGGCCCAGGGACCAGCGGGGCAGCAGGGGCCGGCTCAGGGCAGCACGTGCCAGCCCGGGTGCTGGACACTGACACCATCACCCAGGTCAAGGAGAAGGTGTTGGACCAGCTCTACAAGGGCACCCCCTTCTCCCAGAGGCCCTCCGTGCACACCCTAGACCTTGGTGAGAAGCCCTGCCCACCTTCCAAGAATGGGCAACTCTGGGAACAGGCCAAGGGCTGACTGGTCTCCCTGTATGCCCCTAGAATGGCGCTCAGGCATGGCTGGTCACCTCACCCTATCTGATGACGATCTAACGTCAGTGACTCAGAACCACTGGAAGAGACTCAACACCCTGCAGCACTATAAGGTGGGGTTGGGGCTCAGGGGGCGAGGTGGGGGCCAGGGGTCCAGCCCTGCCTCAGGACTCAGCCCAGGCCTCTATCCCCTCCCTGGCAGGTCCCAGATGGAGCGACAGTGGGGCTTATTCCCAGGATGCACCACACTGGCACAGTGGCCCAGACTTTGGCACAGGGCTGCCCTTCTGGGGAGAGTGAGTTCCTGGCCCCTGTCCACAGGAAGTGGGGCCCAAAGCCCATTCAGCCACCTCCTCACCCCGATGCTTGTGCCCTCACTGGGTGCCCTCAGATACGCCCATGCTGGAGCACAGTGAGGATGGGGAGGGCAGTGGACTTCGCCTCTGGCACCTGGTGAAGGCCACCGAGGAGCTGGAGGGGACCAAGCCTCGGCGGAGCAGCCTGCGGGAGCGAGAGCGGGCCCGGGCCAAGGCCATTCCAGAAATCTACCTCACTCGCCTCCTGTCCATGAAGGTCAGGGCCTGTGAGGCAGGTGGCCCCGGGCTGAGCGGGCATTCCCCTGCCTGCTTACCCACGGCGCCCCTGCCTGCCCTCCAGGGTATGCTGCAGAAGTTCGTGGATGCCACATTCCAGGCCATCCTGAGTGTGAACCGTCCTGTGCCCATCGCAGTCAGGTATCTCTTTGATCTCCTGGATGAGCTGGCAGAGAAACATGGCATCGAGGACCCCGAGGTCCTACACATCTGGAAGACCAACAGGTGGCTCCTCTGTGTAGATCCCCTCAGGGCAGAGGGCTGGAGAGCACGTCTGGGGTCCTGGATTTAGGGGCGCTGCCCAAGCCACTTAGCAGCCCATACCGGTGTCCCCAGCTTGCTGCTTCGGTTCTGGGTGAACACCCTGAAGAACCCCCAGCTCATCTTCGACGTGCGGGTATCAGACAATGTGGACGCCATCCTGGCTGTCATCGCCCAGACCTTCATTGACTCCTGCACCCTCTCGGAGCACAAAGTGGGCCGGGTAAGAGGGGGGTCTCCCCTTACCCACGGGGCTGTGAGCGGCCAGGGTGTCTCCAGCAGCTCTGGGGGAAAGCTCATGTACCCCTCCTCTTCTGGAGCAGGACTCCCCTGTGAACAAACTGCTCTACGCCAGAGAGATCCCCCGATACAAGCAGATGGTGGAGAAGTAGGTGCCCTGCTGGCTAAGGGCCAGGGCCGGGGACCAGGCCTGCCCCTCACTCTGTCCCTTCCCTCAGATACTACTCGGGCATTCGCCGGAGCTCCCCTGCCAGCTACCAGGAGATGAACTCAGCCCTGGCTGAGCTCTCGGGGGTGAGGTGCAGCCTGGGGCCGGGGCAGGAGCGAGGGGGACGTGGTGAGGCGCAGGCTGGAGCCTCACTCTCCCCTCACACTGCCCCCAGAGCTCCGTCTCTGCCCCCCACTGCCTGGAGGCCCTGCAAGATCTGTACAAGCACATCCACAGGTACTACGACCAGGTGAGACCCAGCTACTCCGGAGGGCACAGATGCTCAGTGGGGGCAGCCTTCCAGAAGCCTGGCAAGTGCTGCAGCCAGGTGAGGCACCTCCTCTCATGAGCAGGTCATCAGTGCCCTGGAGGAAGACCCCTTGGGCCAGAAGATGCAGCTAGCCTGTCGTCTGCAGCAGATCGCTGCCCTGGTGGAGAACAAGGTGACTCACCTGTGAGCTCCCCTCTGGCCCTGCCGGAGCACCCCGAGAGTCCTGGGTCCAGCCTGCACGCAAGGAGGCACGCACGAAGGGTGCCGTCAAGACACGCACCGGCTCCATCCTGATGGCAGCCTGCCCCTTTCACACCCCTTCCCAGCCCACTGTATTTATTTGCTTGCTGGAGACTCACATGTGGAAATAAAATAAAAATCTTTCTGGACAAAGCCCAGCCCCAGCTTCCTCTGCAAGTCAGCCCAGTGCTCCTTCCAAGTTGGCACGCTGCCTTCCCCGCTCTAGGTGTCCCTCAGCCCATCACTGGGTGACTTCTCTGGGGCCCTGACAGCCACAGCCAACACCAAGCCCTTCCATTCTCCCCTGACCCCCTCAGACTATACCTTCAGAGCAGCTAGAGCCATCCATGCAGACAAACGCCAGACTGCTGTTCATAACTTTAGGGAGAGCCCCCCCACCTGTCCCCAATCAAGCCCTAGCTAAGGTCAGATGAGGTGGTGGCAGGTCTGGGGCCCTAGTCCCTCCTTGCAATCACCATTCTGATGCCGAGCCCAGGGCTGGCAGGAGCTCCAATGACACCAGCAATGCGAGGGGCGATGCATGTGGGAGAGGTGGGCGAGCATGCAGGGTAAGGGATCTGCGGGGGGTTGGGGGGGGGGAAAGTCCCGAGAGGGCGCCACCTAGGGGCACTTCGGGCTGGGTGCAGCTGCAGGGGGGGGGGGGGGGGGGGGGGGGCCGAGGGCCTGGACAAAAATCTTCCCTGGAGCTACTGCGAGTGGGGCTCTGCCCGGGGCTGGGCCATCTGTGCTCACCCACAAGGGGTTAGGCCACAGCCGCAGAAGGGCTGGGCCTGGGAGCCAGCTCACCATGTGCTCTAGTGGGCCGGGCCTGGGATCCAGGGGACCGCTGGTGGCCCGCCTGCCCCCTCCTTGTGCCTGGCTGAATACCTTGCCTGCGGCCGAGCAGCTGGGATGCTATTTATAAAGGAGAGTGAGCTCAGCAGCAGCCAGCAGGCTATAAATGCTGGGCCTGAGGCCTGGCCCCACAGGAGCGGCCGCCACGGCCCCAGGATCTGCGGCCGTGGGGATGAGTGCCAGCGCTGGTGGCGGTGGGGACAGTAGCGGCGGCAGCAGCAGGTAGGGCCCAGCTCAACACCCCGGGGCCTCTGGTGCTTCTGGGAGCTCACTGTCACTCACCTCCAGTTCCCAGGTCTCTTTTGGACCTGAGTCCTCGGGCTCCGAGTTGGCTCCAGCTGCCCCGCTGCCTAGGATGCTGCAGGGGCTTCTGGGCTCTGAGGATGAAGAGCAGGAAGACCCCAAGGATTACTGCAAGGGTGAGGCCGGGGCTGCCCCCCAGAGACCACTGCTGAGGCCCGGAAGTGGGCCCGAGGCGGCGGAGGACCGGCAGGGGCTCCCTGAGGGGGAGGGGAGGGAGAAGAGCTTGCTGTGGCTGACAGGTCCCCTGGCCAGGTGGCTACTACCCCGTGAAGATCGGCGACTTGTTCAACGGGAGGTACCACGTGGTGCGCAAGCTGGGCTGGGGCCACTTCTCCACCGTCTGGCTCTGTTGGGACATCCAGTGAGTGGCCCCCTGTGCTCCAGGTGGGCCCAGGGTCACCCCTTGCCATCCTGCCCAGGCCCACAGCGCACATGGTCTCGCTGCAGGCGTAAGCGGTTCGTGGCCCTGAAAGTGGTGAAGAGTGCAGGGCATTACACGGAGACAGCTGTGGATGAGATCAAGCTCCTGAAATGTGTGAGGCACCGCCCCTTGCAGCGGCTGGCCAGGCAGTGAGCTTGCGGGCCCGCCGGGGTGGGGGTGGGAGGCCGGCATCGTCATGCTCCTCGGCTCCCACTCCAGGTGCGGGACAGTGACCCCAGTGACCCCAAAAGGGAGACCATTGTCCAGCTGATTGATGACTTCAGGATCTCAGGGGTTAATGGCGTCCGTATCCTTTGTGGCAGCGGAGGGCTTGCTGGGCTCTGTGATGGGTTTGCCCACCCAGGGTGCTGGTCTATGGGACAGGCCAACCCTGCGGGAGCGGGTCTTTTTAGGGGCAGGAGGTGTGGTCCCGGCGGTGGCACAGAGGACTGATCCTCCAGTACCATCTCTAGAATGGGCATCCAAGCTGGCACACTGCCGCCTGTGACCAGAAAGACTATAATTACACCAGTGATGGCAGCTGCAGGGGACAAGCTCTCCTGACGGCCGCCTCCCTTCACTCATGAGCACAGATGTGTGCATGGTGCTGGAGGTCCTGGGCCACCAGCTTCTCAAGTGGATCGTCAAGTCCAACTACCAGGGCCTGCCTGTGCCCTGCGTGAAGAGCATCATAAGGCAGGTGAGTGGGGCGGGGGCTGGCAGCCTGGCGGGGCGCGGGACTTCAGTGTGGCTCTCGCCAGGTGCTGCATGGCCTGGACTACCTGCACACCAAGTGCAAGATCATCCACACGGACATCAAGCCCGAGAACATCCTGCTGTGTGTGGGCGACCCCTACATCAGGCGTCTGGCTGCAGAGGCCACGGAGTGGCAGCAGGCGGGGGGCCCACCGCCCTCCCGCTCCACAGGTACCGCATCCACAGGAGCCAGGGTCGGGTTGGGGGGGGGCCCAGCCGCCTCTGAGTCGGCTGCTCTCTCTCCCTCCCTACTTGTTGGTGTCCCCAGTCAGCACTGCACCCGAGGAGGCCTTGGTAAGTTGTCTTGTGCGTTGTGTGCCCACGCTCCACCCTGACCCCTGCAGAGGCCACCTGAAAGACTCAGGGAGGTAGCCCATGCCCCCAGATGACCACTTTCCACCCACGGGCATCCTTGGCTCTGGGCAGCAGGGGTGTCGGACTCCTCAGAGTGGGAGCAGGAAGGTAGGAGCTGAGCTTGGCAGAGAGCTGAGGTGCCTGGCATAGCAGGTGGGTGGGTGACAGCGTGGTGCCAGTGAACCGGACCATGAGGGTGACCTGTTGCAGCCCCCATGGTGGCTGACTAGGCATGGAGCCCTCCGGGCTGATCCTGGTCCCCCCCCCATCCCCGCTCCCGGCAGACTGGCAAACTGTCTAAGAACAAGAGGAAGAAGCTGCGGCGCCGACGGAAGCAGCAGATGCGGCTGCTGGAGGAGCGGCTGCGGGACCTGCGGAGGCTGGAGGCCATGGAGGCTGTGACCCAGGCGGAGGGTGAGGGGCAGCCGGGGCAGGCGGGGGAAACGCGTCGCAGGGCAAAGCCGCCCGCAGGCCCCCAACCTCCTTTTCGTGTGCCCAGACGCCAGCTCAAGAATAGAGGGGGGCAGTGGCTCCACCTCCTCTTCTGGCTGCCACCCAGGAGGGCCCCTGTCGTCGTCACCAGCCCCAGGCGGGGAGCGCAGCCTCAGCCCCAGCTCCCAGACCTCTGGCTTCTCAGGCTCCTTCTTTTCGGCCACCTCGTGCTCCATCCTCTCCGGATCCTCCAACCAGCGGGAGAGCGGGGGCCTCCTTTCACCCAGCAGTAAGTGGGCTGGGGGTGGTGGCCACAGGCTGGGGCGGCCTACTCACTCCTGCTCGCCCACCTCTAGTGCCATTTGGTGCCTCAAGCCTCCTGGTAAACCCCCTGGAGCCCCAAAATGCAGACAAGATCAAGATCAAGATTGCAGACCTGGGCAACGCCTGCTGGGTGGTGAGTGGGCCAGGAGCCCAGCTTGCAGTGAGCTTCCGGGCCCACCTAGTCTGCAGGGCACAGCGTCCTCCCTAGGGGCAGGCCCCTCTCAGTACTGAGCGGCCACCATCCTCAATCCCTCCTGGGCCATCTGGGGCTCTCCCTTCCTGCAGCACAAGCACTTCACAGATGACATCCAGACTCGGCAGTACCGGGCCGTGGAGGTCCTGATTGGGGCTGAGTATGGGCCCCCCGCCGACATCTGGAGCACAGCCTGCATGGTAGGAGGGTGTAGCAAGGTGGGCAGGGGGGCTCCCAGCCTGACCCTGCGGCAGCCTTGCCCTCTCCGTTGCAGGCCTTTGAGCTGGCCACTGGCGACTACCTGTTTGAACCCCACTCTGGTGAAGACTACAGTCGGGACGAGGGTAGGTGAGGTGGGCCGGGGGCCCGGCTGGGGCTGCTGCGGCTCGCCCTCGGAAACCTCATCTATGCCTGCAGACCACATCGCCCACATCGTGGAGCTGCTGGGAGACATTCCCCCGGTGTTCGCCCTCTCAGGCCGCTACTCTCGGGAGTTCTTCAACCGGAGAGGTGGGGAGAGGAGGGTGGGCCAGCCCCCCAGCACCGGGCAGAGCCTGACAAGGCCCCTCCCCAGGCGAGCTGCGGCACATCCACAACTTGAAGCGCTGGGGCCTGTACGAGGTGCTCATGGAGAAGTACGAGTGGTCCCTGGAGCAGGCCACGCAGTTCAGCGCCTTCCTGCTGCCCATGATGGAGTACCTCCCCGAGAAGAGGGCCAGTGCTGCTGAGTGCCTCCGACACCCCTGGCTCAACCCCTAGTCCGCAAGCCTCAGGAAGCCTGCCTCCTTTCTTAATAAAGTTGGAACTGCAACTCCAGTGTCCTGAGTGGGGAGCACTGCCCACCCCAGAGAACAGAGGCTTCAAGGTGTGAATGGGGCCAGTTGTTGTTGTTATGTGCCGTCGAGTAGCTTGCGACTCATAGCGACCCTATGTACAACAGCCCTAAACTCTGCTCTGTCCTGTCTCTGACACTCCCATCCCGATTATCCCAGTCACTGAATCAATCCACCTCATAGAGGGCCTTCTCCTCCTGCACTGTCCCTCCACCCTCCCAAGCATGATGTCCCTCTCCAAGGACCGGTGTCTCCTCACAACATGTCCAAAGGATGTTAGACGGAGCCTCAGAATCCTTGCCTCCAAGGAGCCACCCGTTTTAACCCTTTCCAGGACGAATCTGTTTGTTTTTCTAGCAGTCCATGGTATTCTCAATACTCTTCTCCAGCACCACAGCTCAAAGGCATCAATTCTCCTTCTAGCCTCCTTGGTCATTGTCCAACTCTCTGATGCATAACAAGTGATTGCGAAGACCATGGCCTGTATCAGACGCACCTTAGTCTCCAGGGAGACACCATTGCTCTTCAGTAATGGGGCCAGAGGTTGCTTTATTTTGCAGTCGGGGCTGCTTTAGGCCACTGGGGCTGCTGGGGGTGCCAGGGGGTGGGGATGCGGAGGAAGGGGTAGAATGGAGCGGCGGGGACAGCTAGGCCCCCACAGCCCGGCCGTTGATGATCCTGATGTGACGGATGATGTCCTGGATGGCTTCGGATGTGGTGCCCTGGCCCCCGATGTCTGGGGTGTGCATCTGTGGAAAAAGACTCACTTGGGCACATGTGTGGTCCTGCCCACTGAACCCTACCTAGCTCATATTCCACAAAGAGGGACAGCAAAGGCCCTGCTGCTCGACCCATGGGTACTACCCTTCCCTCGGGGGCAGGCTGCAGGGGAAGAGCCTTACGTTCTCGTTATCCATGGATGCCAGGACGGCCTTGCGGATGGAGGTGGCGTAGGAATGGAGCCTACAGGACAAGAAGGCTGGCTTTGGCTCCCTAGGGCCCTGGGTGCAGCCAGGGCAGGTTCCAGGGCCCGACATGGGAAAGCCACTTACTTGAGGTGGTCGAGCATCATGCAGCTTGCCAGCAGTGTCGCTGTGGGGTTGGCGACGTTCTTATTGGCAATGCTCTTGCCTGTGTTCCTGGTAGCCTGGAAGAGGCCAGACAGGACAGGGTGGCTGGAGAGTGGGGAGGGCAGGCCACACGCTGAGAGTGGCCAGTGAGGCAGGTACAGACAGAAAGTATGTCAGCAGCTGGCAGGAGTGCCCACTCGTGGGAATGGGGTCCCTTCTCAGGATGGACCTGGTGCCAATACATCATGGACTTGAAAAAAATCGGATTTTTCAAAAATTTTGTCTTGGTGAGCTCTGGTGGCTTAGTGGCAAGAAGCTGCACTGCAATCCTAGAAGTAGCAGTTCGAATCCACCAGATGCTCTGCTGGAGAAGGAGGGACAATCTCCTCCTGTACCAGTCAGATCTGATTTGATGGTACACACACACACACACACACACACACACACACACACACGTTAAAAAAAATTTGTCTTAGCCTAACACATAATATGAAGTTTGTTAAACACTTTGAAGTAAACAATTCATGGCATTTGATCGCCATAATCATATGGTACACAACTACTACTGGTATCTTCAGAAGTCAGTGCAAAAAGGGCTAATTTCAGGTTACATTAAAATTTTCACATCTATCATGCTGTTGTTGTGTACCATTGAGTCAGAACTGACCCACAGCTGTGGCCTCGAACCGCATGCCTTTGGGATTGCAGTGCAGCTTCTTGCCACTTGGCCACCAGAGCTCTCTCTCACATCTAAAATCGTAAAGAAAACCTGAACAGAGAGGCAAGCATTCGGTTCATACACACAATGCTAGGGCACCTGAAGAACAGGTGAACCAAAGTGCTCAAGCTATCAGTGGGGTAACTGGCACGCCGCCGAGCACTGCCGCTGTCGGTCAGTCCACACAGCGGGGACCCACTCATCCGTACCACAGTGGAGCGCGACTGCTCAGTGCTGGCGAGAGCGCAGTCCTGCCGCCCGCCACTGCACGAGGAGCAGGGCGGTGCCAGGAGGCAGCACAGAGCCGCAACGGTCTGAGTTCACCACGGGGCACGTCTGGACGACTGCAGCCCAGAGGTCCACAAGTGGGGACATGCTGGCTGGAAGGGAAGGGTTCCTTTCAACAAAAACATCCCAAGGGTGACTGAGGAGAACACACTGAAGTTTGTGAAACTCACTGTTACATGGAGGGACTGAATGCGACACACTACGAGCACTTACTGTCTCAAACACTGCGTACACATGGCCATAGTTAGCGCCAGCCACAAGGCCCGGGCCCCCGACCAGCCCGGCGCAGACGTTGTTGACAATGTTGCCGTAGAGGTTAGGCATCACCATCACATCGAACTGCTGGGGCCGGGACACCAGCTGCAGCGTGAGAAGGGGGTGAGGACACGGCACGGCCCGAGGCCCAGAAGAGGGGTGCGGCCAGCCCCACGACCTACCTGCATGGTAGTGTTGTCCACAATCATGCTCTCAAAGGCGATCTGAGGGTAGCGGCTGGCCACCTCTCGACAGCACTGGAGGAAGAGTCCATCGCCTAGTTTCCTGGGGACACAGGACACTGGTTTGATCATCACGCTCCCTCTCGTTTGGACTGTGGCATGTCCCTGGCCAAGGAAGGGGTGTGTGTGCACCACACCCTGAGGGCCAGAGGATACCCCTTGGGCACTGCCTGGAAGCAGGGTGGGAGGCATACATGATGTTGGCTTTGTGGACAGCGGTGACCTTCTTGCGCCCGCTCTCATGGGCCAGCTTGAAGGCGTACTCCGCAATGCGCAGAGACTTGGCCTTGGTGATGATCTTCAGGCTCTCCACCACGCCACCCACGCTCTGCAGAGACAGCAAGAGAGGCCGAGGCCTGGGGGAGCTGGTCCCTTGTGGGAGGACAGAGCTGTTGTCCTGGGTCCTGAGCTTCCTCCCCTGGGTCCAGCCCTCCTGCATCTTAGCCAGGGCCTAAATCCAAAGTGTCACCCCTGGTCGCCCACCTCATGTTCCAAGCTGCTGTACTCGCCCTCAGTGTTCTCCCGGACAATGAGGATGTCAATGTCCTTGTGCCGGGTCACCACCCCTGGCAGGCTCTTACAGTGGATGACGTTGGCGTAAAGGTCCAGGCTGGTGCTGGGGGAGGAGGCAGGTTAGGATTAGGGAGGAGTAGCTGGGGCCCCAACCGGGCCACCCGGCTGTGCACCTGACCTCACCGAAGGATGTTGTTTCGGGATTTGTGTGATGGTGGCAGGTTGTGGTTTGTTTCGATATTGCCTGCAGAATCAAAGTAAGATGACCTGGCTGGCAAGGGAGCTCCCTGGCTCACAAATGCTGCCACCCCACTCACCCACCCACCCAGGAGACACTTCCAAGCAGACAGAACACAGGCTTTGGCAGAAGTAGAAACAGCTCAGGGGACAAGAGGCCATGCCTCCAACGCCACGCTCCATGGGAGGGCATGTCTGTCTACTTCACTGATAGTCCCCGGAACGTGGAGGCATGTGGCACACACTCAAGAATGAACAGTGACGGGAAGCTGGCTGGTGGGCTGCCACTCCCACCCCCCCGTGCCCCGGGCTTAGGGCCTCTTCTCTGCATCACTATGCTGGCCAGCCCAGTCTAGTGCAGCAAGGTGACTTTGGTCAAGTGGCTAGAAGCCCCACAATGAGGCTGCGCCCTTCCGTGACCCCGTATGAAGAGCGCCAGGCCTTCTGAGCCACATTCCGCCTGGCTGACTCTCCCTGAGAGTGCTGCTGGGTGGCTGGGCACAGGACTCATGCCTAGTTCAAGTCTGCACGCAGAGCTCCTCACACAGGTGGCGTGAGGGCCAAGGCTGCACGGGAAGCAGTGTGGGACGGTGTCTATGTGAAGATGCTCCCAGCAGGGTGACAGAGATAGCAGAACTGGAGAGGTCCCTAGAAGCTCTGGCCAGTGTCCATGCAAAGAGGTTCTCCCTGGGCAGAGGAGCCCAGAAATCTGAGACAGCCCCAGAGGCCAGTGTCAGCTCGGACTCAAAAGGAGCTCACCCTTCAGAGCCACACGGTTCCGCCGAATGGCCATGATGGCATTGCGGATATCCTCCTCGTCGGCATTGGAGCTCACGTGCACCTCCTCGAAGTCCACCGGGACACACGCATGCCTGGGGCCGGGACGACATCAGGGCTGCTGGCTGCCTGGCGGTCCCCCGGCCCCAGCCCAGGACACCATTAGCCCCCCTGTGGCCCCATACCTGAACACAGACTTGACGTGCAGCATGAGCTCAGGTCCAATACCATCCCCAGGGATCATGGTCACTGTGTGTCGCCCACCATACTTAGCTGACGGAGGCTGCAGGGATGGGAGGGGGAAGGGCAACCCGGGGCTCCTGAAGCCTCCTTGGCTGGGCTCCCACGTGTTCCAGCCAGTCCCTTCTTCCCAAGGGTCCAGTCCAGGGCACATCCCTCCCCGAGCCCACCCCTGCACAAGTGCCTCCTGAGCCCACCACGAAGAGAAAGAAACATACTCACAATTGTTTGCTGCTAGGAAGAGAGAAGACAAAAACAAGACAAGGTCAGTGGGACAGGCTGTGCCTTAGGGATGCTGGTCCTGTGGTCGAGGGACAGGTGTTGGGGGGCTCTGGGGTCTTTTCTTTGGGTGTCCTGTCTAGCACAATTCAAGTAAGGGGTGGGTTGAGGACATGGGGGGAGAAGGCACCAGCACCCCAGCAGTACTTACTGAGGAGATGCTCCTTCGGGGGGCCTCCTGCGCACCTAGAACCTGGCAAAGACAATCCAGTTCCCAGTGTGGCTTGTCAGCTCCCAGCCAGGTGTCACAACCCACCCCACCCCAGCCCTGCTCCAATCTCCAGGGCGCAGCTCGGGGCCAGCTGTCCCAGCCCTGGTATAACCGTGCCCTAGGGAAGGCTCTACCAGCCCTTCACGGTGTGCCAAACTCTTTCAGCAGGTGCAACAGGGAGAGCTCTAAACCAACCCCAAGTCAACGAGGATGGGAACTCTCATTCCTTTTATCATCATTCCTTCTTACAAAAGCAAGCTGTGCTTACCACAGGGCAAACAGGAGCCGGCAGCCTGCTAGCCTCGGGCCCCGAGGTGGGCACCAGCAGCTCGGCTTCATGCTCAGGGACACCCACAGCTTTGGGAGAGTAGTAACAAGGACACTGACACACGGGAGTGTGCCCGGGTCCGCCTTGTCACTTGGAGACGCCTGCCACTGGCTGAACCATGACAAAGCAGGAGGGGGTTGCCACACTGAGAGCTGATGGTCTGTCTGTCACTAGGCCTCAAGGTCGGTTCCCAACACGTGCGGCCAGAGGGAGCCTGCCCTGCTGCACACGACGGCTCCGCTCGCACTCCTCACTCCACACTCCCTCAGGGTCACTGCCTTGAACCCTCTCAAAGCCTAAACTCCTACAAACGGAGGCCTTATCTGTCTGGTCCCACGCTGTCAGCCCAGCACACAAGGCTTATTTCCTGAAGGAAAGTGAGTCAGTTAGAGAATGAAGTACAAGACTGTGGGCTTCAAGGTTGGGGAGATCGAGGCCAAATCCAGCATCTAGGCCCAGGAAACATGGCTCAGCCACACGGAGCAATCATCTTCAAGACTCAGGCAGATCAGTGAGGGCCTGGCGGAGCTGCCGGAAACCCTTCCTGCCCAGTCTGTCCCTGCTCAGCTTTGGCACTGCGCTCCTGGGGCTGGCTGCTCCCACTGCCCGCCATGGCCAGTCGACTCATGCTTGAACCTTCCATCAGCAGCTTGCTTGGTTAGAGGCTCCTTCCAGCTTTGGACTTGAGACACAGAGGTTTTCAACAGGGACCTCCCTAAACTGGCCTGCTGCACATGCGTGTGTTTAATGCAGCAAATTACTTGCCACGGTCCGAAGGCATGGTCTTCTACTTTGTAATGTGTGGGAAATCCAAGCCTGTGGTCAAGGCCCTACTGTGCAGTGTGAATCACTACTCAGAAAATGAAGTACAAGATCACTAACCTTGCCTGAGTCACTCCTTGTATCTGACAAGAGGAAAAAAAAGGAGATGGCAGCAAGCAGAGAGAGGTGATCCGACTACCAAGAAGAGGAGACAGAAATGGAGCACGTCTGCAGACCCAGCGTTCCAGTGCAGGGAAGCTCCTAGACAGTTTAGCTGAGGCGCTAGAGAACTCTGTCATACTGGCTAGAGCAGAGCAGTGGCCAGGCCTGTCCAAGAGGCCCAGGGCCAGAGTGAGACAGGCTGAGGAGACACTGCCCTGCTGAGGAGACACTCCTGCCGAGGACTGCGGTCCTGAACATTCCTGAAGCTAAACTGCAACCTTCCCTGGTAAACACTTTAACTGTGAGTTTTGTGGTGCCCGGGCAATGATCCAACTGGCACAAGAGGAGACTGCCCCTCCTCCAGCAGACCATCTGGTGGATTCGAACCATGCAGCTTCGGGACTGAAGCACAGCTTGCAATGAGTTCTTAAACCAAGCAGAGCAGCAGACAGTGCTGGGGGAGGAGGTGTCAGAACGGGTAAAAAGATCATGAATCAATCAGTCTTGGGGCTGCCGATCATGGTGATCCTCCACCCTTCCACAACACACCTCCTCCAGGTACAGCCAGCCTCCGCCTCTGCAAGGTGACAGGCGCTCGCTCCCAGGGAGCCATCAGCACTCACACTGAACAACGCTGAATGCCACAGAAATGGGGCTCGGTGGTGTGTATGCTCCGCCAAAGGGATTCTACTCTCTCCCAGGTACTGGCCTGTCCCAGGGGTCCTCTAAGGATGCTCACATTGCTGACCATTCATGGAGCCCCCAACCCTGCTCTAACAGCCACCCACCCAAGCGCACCCAGAAGGAGAGTTTAGGGCAGAGACAAACAGCTCACCCAGAGCCCTCCAGACAGTCTCTCTGAGTGGCTGTCCTTTCCCAACAGGGGGCATTTCAGGGCTGCAGGTAAGTCAGTGCGCAGAAATGGCCATGGGGAGTGTGACCAAAGTCACTCAGTTCTGGAAGGTCAGCGCTGGCAGGACTGGTGCCTAACACTGGACAGAGGGTAGACTGGAGGCCACAGAGCGGAGGAATTGGCCTAAAATCACGCAGGGTCAGTGGAGGAGCCTGACTGGAGGTCATAGCCCTTTTTGCCTGAGGGGCAATGTGGGCCCGCTGCTGCTTCAAGTGCTGTGTGCCTTCCAGTCTATCTTTCTACTGCAGGGCACGGGGAAATGTAACCAAGATCCTCTATGAAGAGCCGCAGAAGCAAAGCTTCACAGCTGCCCACCCCCACTTTGCCTCGGAGCTCCCATTCTAGGGGCGGCGGGGGGGGGGGCGGATCTGGAGCTGTCAGAAGTGTCAGAAGGCTGGCAGCAGCCTGTGGGACCCCGCCCTGAAGATGCAGACCTTTAAGAAGGACCAGAGCCAACTTCGGCCGCCCCACACTGACGGTAGAGGTGGCCAATCCACTGCCACGCGTGACCCTCTCCCCACCCTTCCCGGCGCCGTAGCCAATCAGGCTCCAGGCTGCTCCACTCGCAGTTCCCACTCGCGCCAGCCCCACTGCAAAGCCAGGTCCTTCCGCAACCACTGCGAGTCGTCCCGAAGCCAGCACACCCCTCTCACCTCCCAAGGACGGTAGAGGATGCCCGGTCTAAAAAGGGTCTTCGAAGCGCCACAAGCGGCCGTCGCGACCTTCAGCGCCATGACGGTAAATGACAGCTGCCACACGTCCTTGGGCCGATGACACTGCTCTCGCGATATTCATGCAGGGGGCGGGAGGTGTGAAGGCGGCCGTGAGCTGAGCAGTGCGCACGCGCGGCCGGGCCTCTTCCCACGCCTTCTACCCGCAGCGGATCACCGCCGCCATCTTGGAGGAGGCTGTTCTCCCGGGGTGGAGGAGGAGGACACGTCAGGGCTCGTAGCGACGTCACGTAGGCTGACCCTGCCGGCCGGCGCTTGATTGGCGGCTGCAGCCGGCTGGCCGTTGACGCGTTGCGCTTCCTCGTCTGCCCTCGTGCTTCCTCTGCCCCACTCCCAGAGGAGCAGCGATGGCGGCGGCGGCGCCTCTCGGGGCCCTGGCACTGCTCCTGCTGGCCGGTCTCTCGTGCTGTTCAGGTAGCGGCGCCTGTGAAGGGAGAAGCAGGGGGCGGGCGCAGCCGCGCGGGCATGGCTGCCTCCCGCGTCATCCCACGTTGAGCCCGCAGCCACTTGTGTCACTTTGCCGTTCCTGCCTTGGCCCGGGCGGGGTGGGCCGGCTTCCCTGCCGGGAGTGCGGACAAGCCGGTGAAAGGGGGTCACTGAGCAGCCAGGCCGGGAGAGAAGCACGGGGCCCCACAGCTCGTCCACGGCGGGGTCCGCTCAGGCTGAGACAGGTCTCCCACTGGGGGGCTCCGGGTGCCCTGTCCCGGCCGGAGGTGGCGAAGGCTCCTTCCCATCTGAGGGGCAGGGGACTCTGTGCAGCCAGCGCTGGCGCCCCGCCTTCGGTCGGCGAGTGCGGCCACGGCGGGAAGCGGGTCCCCAGCGTCCTCCATGCTGATGCCTCCGCTGAGATTCGGGGACCTTGTGCGGCAGGGCTGCAACCTCCGACGAGGCCCTCCCCTCTGTGGTGCGGGCACCGTCACCCGAATGAAACGCACCTGCCTCTGCCGCTCCCCCTTCCCGGGGAGCTGCACCTCGAGGCGCCCTGGCCGTGGCCCTTAGGCCCCGATGTCCCCCACATGCTCACAGCTGACACTCTTGGAGACGGGGCACACGCTCCCAGCAGTTCTCTGTCCCCACAGCAGAGGCCTGCGTGGAGCCGCAGATCACGCCCTCCTACTACACCACGTCGGATGCAGTCATCGCCACGGAGACGGTGTTCATCGTAGAGATCTCCCTGACCTGCAAGAACAGGGTTCAGGTGGGGCTTACAGGGCGGGAGGGGGCCAGCTCACTGGCACTGGGGTGCACGGGTGCGGCCAGAGAGGTCATGACTCCAGGGCTGCTGCTGCTCGTGTCTTGGCACTGTCCTCTTCTGGTGGACATATGGGAAGACATCCGGGCCAGCACCAAGTGCGGGTGACGGGGTTCGGGAAGTTAAGAGGAACAAGTTGGCCTTTGGGGGTTGGTTGTGGTCACGTTGGACTAGACCCTGGGACAGTCTTGAGCCTCGTGCCTGCAGGTGAGAAGGTGACAGTGGCACTGCCTTTGCCCCAGTATAGGGAGGTGGTGATCCTCCTTTGCTCTCTCACAGAACATGGCTCTGTATGCAGACGTCAGTGGAAAGCAGTTTCCTGTCACCAGAGGCCAGGATGTTGGACGTTACCAGGTAAGGGAGGGGGGTGGCTTGAGAGTGGGACCTAAAGCTCCCCAGGTGGCCTGAGTCAGCTTGGGGCTCAGGACTTGCGGGGTGCTCACAGTATCCTTGAGCGGCCCTGACCTGTGTTCACTTTGATTGCCCCAGGTGTCATGGAGCCTGGACCACAAGAGTGCCCACGCGGGCACCTACGAAGTCAAGTTTTTTGATGAGGAGTCCTACAGCCTCTTGAGGAAGGTGAGTAAGCCGGGCTGCAGCCCCTCCTGGTCCTGCCCTGTTTCAGCACCCTGACCCCTGCTACTTCCTTGCAGGCTCAGAGAAATAACGAAGACATTTCAGTCATCCCGCCTCTGTTCACAGTCAGCGTGGACCACCGGGTGAGTGGGCTTGAGGGCCAGAGCAGCAAGGGGCAACAGCCTAGCACCTCCTGCAGGCTCTGACTCTACCTGCTTGACTGTGTCTGCCTCTCTCTTGCAGGGAACCTGGAACGGGCCCTGGGTGTCCACAGAGGTCCTGGCCGCAGGGATTGGCCTGGTGATCTACTACCTGGCTTTCAGCGCAAAGAGCCACATCCAGGCCTGAGGGCCAGTGGAGAGTGCGGACCCTCAGGCCCTCCTTTGACCCTTTTAATAAACACCTCTTCGGCCACCACTAGCTGTGTCACCTGCACCTTTCCCCACAGAGGGAGCGACAGGGCTGACAGGGTCCTGTCCTTCCCGTGAGGCTGCGTGATGGGGATGATGGTGCCTCCTCACCCTCCTACATCGCCCTTTCTGACCTTTGCTGTATTCTCTCTGCTCCGACCTCATGTGTGGCTTGGTCTCTGGCCTCAGGAGACCACCTTTCCATGTGGGATGTGGGGAGCAGGCAGGAGGGTGGCCTTGGCCTGCCCTGTATAGTCCTTCAGCAGCCACAGCAAACAGCACAAGCTCCCGGCTGGCCCTGAGCCCCACCCATAAGGATAAGGCCATGTGCACTATTGTTTCCTTGTTTCTGTCCCAACAACCAGGTTACCATTTTATCCCTGAACATTTAGGAAATCACCCAGCTTAGGCCTCTGAGGTCCCCCCTCTCCCCACCCCAGGCCCATTTCCAGTTTTGTTGTTTGGGCTGCTGGAAAACCCATGTTCTAAGTGGGTGGTTTGTTTTTTTTTTAAACTTTCTAGACATCAGAAGCCCCCGTTTGGTGGGGAGGTGTCCCCCTCACGTGTCATGTTCGTCCTGTGTGCAGGCTCAGGATTGTATTTAGAACCCAGCCCCGAACTCGAGTATGCCTATTTTGGTTTGGTGGGGGATTTTTGTTTTTTTTTTAAAAAAAACAGCTTGTTTGTTCTGCTGCTGCTTTCTGCAGACTCTTAGGCCCTTGACAGCCTCAGGACACCAGGTGGGAGTGCTATACAAACCTTCAGGTCACCACACTCTGGCAAAGCTCCCAGTGAGTAATGGAAAGGCAGTCCCAAACAGAGCATGGTTTTTGAGCATGTGAAAGGCCCCTCTTTTCTCTGGTGCCCAGTTGCTGTTCTCTGCACTGGCAGCCATCAGAGCGGGCCATGGACAAGGGCCAGGCTGGTGGATGGCCTGTGTGGGCAGAAGGCAGTGAAAACTGCCAATCACTTGCCTGCTCTGTCTGGCTCCGCCTCCTTTCTTGAGACAACAGGACCTCAAATCACAACCAAGTGCTGGTGCCACCCCCTGCTAGCAATAGCCCAAGTCACTAACACTGGCTCTTGTCATGTTTCCCACGGCCAAGAAACCGAAAGGTCCCAGCCTGTCAGTGCCAGAAAGTGGGGTGACACTGCCTGTCAGCAATCCCCCAGGAGCACTTTGCATCGGTTTCCTGTCCTTCACTGGGATTTACGTGGGGCCTAGGTATCCTCTTTTTGAAACAGTGAGGGGGCCTGCGGAGGGGTCGCAGGGAACTTGGCTCTGAGCTTGACTTCTGAATGCAGAGGAACACTTAGGCTCTGAGCATTGGCTGCGGTCTGCTCATAGCTTATTTCCGCAGCACTACTTCCTCAAGGGGAATGGCGCCCAACTCTGCTGGAGGTAAGGGGGTGACTGCTCCTCCCCAAGTAGCCACCATGCTCAGGATGGCCAAGTTCCCAAGTGGGGAAGGTGGTTCCTGGCTTTTCAGAAACTTGCAGTTTCCTGCCCTCACAGGCCTCTCCCTAGGGTCACCTAGATAGACTCCTTATGTGGGAACAGGAGATGGCCTGAACAGGCCCTGTCTTGTGGAGATGGTGGCCCTTAGCCCCTCTGCACCCAATCCAAGCCCTTCCCCATTCTCAACCCAACCCCCTCAGGATATGGTTTAAGGACCACAGGAGATCAAGGTTCAGCCGGTCCAAAGGCAGCTTGCTTTATTCCCTCTTATACCAGCTCCCTTTGTGTGTCTGTACCCTGTGCCCCAGAAGTGGTTTGGGGCTTTCCCTTAGCTCTGACAAGGGTTCTGTGACCCTGTCCCCTCTCCTGGGAAGCCAGCCTGAGGTCTTCCTGGGGCCCTCAATAGGCCAAGCCCCTCCTCAGGCTCCCACCCTAAATGGTGGTGGGACTTAACAGAATCCGGTCTTCTGGGCATCATGACCCACCTAGAGCCCTCAGTACCTGCGGTCTTCTGACGGCCACCAGTAGAGGGTTCCTCTGTCCCCATACATGGCAGAGCACAGGCCCCTGGGAAGGTTACTTCCCATTCTCACAACCTTGTCCACCCCTCCCTTCCCACCCTGTTCCCCCCTTTCTTCCCTCCCCTCCCACTGTCTTTCCCAGCCTCCCTTGTGGGTCACACTTGGTCAAGCAGCCCAAAAGAGCCACCTGTCCCCAGAGCAGGCCCACAAAACAAAACAACTATTGGCAAGCACAGAAACAGTGAGAAACTACGCAAATCAGAAGTGCTCTCTACAAATCACCAAGGCTCCTAGGGGGCGGGTGCTGTGCCGGGCTTCTGAGCATCCGCCAGGAAGCCCCGCTTGGCTGGCACGCTGTTCTCCCCGTCACCACGTGCCCATGTGAGCACTCCGTGTGTACTCAGGCTCTGCGTCTCACACGTGCACAAAGACAAGGGGGGGGGGTCACAGCAGACGATGCTGGGGGACCAGGTGGTGGCTCAGCTCTCAGGGAAGGCTCCTACTCTGGCGGGGTGTCTATGTTGACAAAGTACACGCACACACAGAGACGAGACACACACAGGTGTGCCCCAGCAATGCACACGCACAGATACACCAATGCCAGGGAGGGAAGGGGCCCCGGCGGGCCCAGGGCCCACTCAGACAGTGGTGACAGACAGCAGCGGGTTGTAAACTCTCTTGCCATCGGCAGAGCGCGTGCCGTGTGCCAGCATCTCCTGGATGGTGATCCAGTTGTCCAGGATCTTCTTGTTCCGCTTCTTCATGGTCTTGCGGTGGCTCAGGGCGATGATGTTGAGCTCAGCCTTGCTGTCGCCACTCTGCTGCTCACGCAGGCACTCCAGGCGGCTCTGCATCATGAACTCGCGGCGCTTCCGGTGCTCGCGCGCGCGGATCAGGTGCTGCTTGCGCTCCTCCTTGCTCCAGTAGCGGCCCATCTTCATCTCGCTCACTGCGTCGTCATCTGTCGTCATGCCGCTGCGCTCCTCGCGGATCTTCAGTGCCCGGGCCTTCAAGAGCCTGTCACGCACTGGCCGCTTGGCCACATATCGGGTTCCATCACTGCGTACTTTGACCTTCCACTCCATGCGGGGAGCTTCAGCGCCTGGGGCTGCAGTGGTCACCCGAGGGCCACCTGCCAGGCCCAAGGGGCCATGGGCCAACTCTTCCAGGCCCCTTGCCAGTGGCATACAGGTGTGGAGGTGCTCGCCCCCATCCTGGCTCTGGACACGCTGGCGCCGGGAAAGGTAGGGACTACCACCCTCTGGGCCCACTCGCTCCAGGGCCGCACCTGTCTTGGGGCCGCGGCGGATCCGCTCCTCTGAGTGCTGTCTCCGGCCCACCTCAGCATCCCGGGACAGGGAACGGAACTTGGCAGGGCTCCCCGGCATGGGGGTTGCCTTGGGTACTGTGGTGCTGGCTGCACTGGCTGGGGTCCGGTTCAGGTTGGAGTTCCCACCAGCAGTAGTGGCTGTGGCGCGCCGCAGCGGGCTCTCGGGTAGCGGCTCTGTGAGCAGGGGGGTGCTGCGGCAGCTCTCCCCAGTGTTGTAGGCGCTGGTGCTGTCCCTGTCCGACTTCTCAGGCAGCTCAGAGATGTCGGACAGCTCATGCTTCTGGGGTTCCCCAGCCGCCAGGGCATAGAGGCCTTCCTCCTCCAGCAGCCAAGCCTTCATGCAGCGTTCTCGCAGCTGCTGCATCTTCTGAGCCCGCAGGATGTTGCGGCACTTGAACTCCAGATGCCGCAGCTCCTCCTCCAGCATGGCCATCTCGTGACCCAGGCTCTCGTTGCGGTTGACGTCCAGGGCGCTGGTGCCGCCCGTGGCTCGTGGGAAGAGCAAGCCCAGAGGGTTGCCATTCTCCAGGTGCCCTCTGACCTCCAGCAGCTCCCGGTAGCGCTCACATTCGTCGTCAGTGAGGCCCGGGATATCACCAGCGCCCAGCCCCGCCCCCTCAGCCAGCAGGGAGTCCATGCTGAAGTGGAAGTCCCGGCTCTGCAGGGCTTCCCCCTGGAAGGCAAACCTGCGCAGCGCACCCGGAGTACTGGTGCTGCTGGGGGGCTCATCGCCCAGGAGGTCGTGCTCTGAGCTCTCCTCGTTGCGCGTGCTCTCGTCGGTCCGGCCCACTCCACTGTCCAGCTCTTGGCTGTTGCTCAGGCCTGGGCCCCCATCAGGGACTCCCTTTTCCTCCTCTCCCGGCTGGGGCAGAAAGACAGCCACATGTGCCACCGACCCACCAGGTGGGCTCAGGGCGGGTTTCCACCCCAGTCCTACCCAGCCCAGGTACCCCAGCTCCGTGACTTACCAGCTGGGTAGGGGGGGACTTCAACTTGCGAGTCCGGGAGTCCCCCTCGTTCTCAGAGCAAAAGTCATCCAAGAAATCATCTCGATCACTGTCCTTCCAGCGCTTTGTCAGCTGCAGAGACAGGCAGGTGCTGTCCCCACCACTGCTGGGGCCTCCCCAGCCCTGAGCCCACAGCAGCCCCCAGCCTACCAGCCCTCAGCCATGGAGCCCAGGCAGCTCACACACCTCGCTCTCAGGCCGAGCCAGCAGCAGAGAGATGTTGGTGTTCTCCTCCTGGCTCAGGATGGCCACCGCCTCCTCCCGGTTCTGGACGTCCACACCGTTAATCTGCGGGGGCCCAGGCCCAGTCAGCAAGGACTCCAGGGCCACCTCTCAGGCCAGCCTTGGTCAAGGCAAGCCACATTCCGTCACACCCTTGCCTGGGTGTCAAGAGGTGCAAGATGCCCGAGGAAAGGGGGCCAGGGCCATGTAAGAGTCATGCGGGCGTGTGCCAAGGACACCAGGATAAGGATTGAGTGAGCAGCTGAGATGCGCTTGTGCCCAGGGACAAAGGAGCAGGGCTGGAGCAGGGCGGGGGCAGTGGGGTGCTCTCTCACCTGGATGATCCGGTCGCCTTCTCGGATCCGGCCGTCTTTGGCTGCGATGCTGTTGGGGTTGACCTGCGGGGCACATGCGTCATTGAACTTCGCTGTCTACCCTAGGGGCCACCTGGCCTGGAGCCCCAGAGCCCCTGGAAAGCTTTGTCCTTTTCTCCATGCCGGGGTGGAAGGCAGGAGGAGCCTGGCTAGCTGCCTCTGCACACCATGGGAGGCAATGGCTAGCCAGAAGCCCTGGCCTTTCCCTGACACCTTCATGCCCACCCATGGCTGGCATGCCCTGCTCCCTCCCACAGAAGCCAGGAACTGGCCACTGCATGATGCTGGAGAGCCTGGCACTAGTGCAAAGGGGAACTTAATCGGGCTGCGAGTGAGAGCTGCCGGGGGGCTTCCCCTCCAGGACATGTGACAAAGGCTGCTGGGGAATAGAGGCCTGCAGGACACTGAGGGGGGCAGAACCTGGGGTGGAGAACGGAGCCTTATCCAGCCGCCTTGGCCCAGGTTCCTTGTGCAGACAGCTCCCTTGCTGCACTAGGCCTGTCCCCCAGCCCATAGCCTACTTGGGGTCCTCAGCAGGCCCAGTACCTGGCAGGTGATCCCAGTGAGCAGTCTACATACCTGGGGGTGGGACGGCTTCATCAGGGCCCATGCCACCAGCCCAGGAGCGGAAGCCCTCCCTGCACCTACCTCTCCTACATAGATGCCCAGGTCCTCCTCGTCGTCGGTGCGGTAACAGACCATCAGGCCTAACTTGTCATGGTGACTAGTCTTGTACAGCTCCACCTCCTGCCGAGGGGGGGATCGGATGAACCAGGAGCCACAACCCTTCCCCACTTTCCCTGACACCCTCTACACTGAGCTTTGAGGGCTCCCTTTACCGTCCCAGTGTGAGCATGTTCAGCTGTTCCCTCTAACAGGCAATGCCCAAGACACACATACATGAAACGGAAGACAGCACGCATGGTCCATGGGCTCACCAACACAGACCTAGTACAGGCCTCCCCTGGGCCCTCCTCAGCAGCCCACAAGGCCCCTGCTAGCCACAAGCACTTGGGAAGGCCCAGTGGCAGCCTCACAGCAGGCAGGCTCCAGCCCAGCAACCCACTCACCTCGTACTCCATCTCGTCCATGCGGTCGGCCTCCGGCTGGCTGCCCTCTGTGAACTCTGCTGGTTCATAATACTCATGGCTGATGGGGGCGCTGCCCAGGAGAAGGTGGAGGTCAGGCTGACCAGGGACCCTCGCTCGTTCTAGCCCTAGCTTCCAGAAGAGCCATGACGTCTGCTCCCAGTGCACCAGGCACACGGCTGCTTGCTGGGTATACCCTCGGGCGGTGGGCATCTAACTGCTTCCTTGTAAACAAACACCCCTTCCCGAGCTGCTCGCACCCGTGCAAAGAGCAGGAACACTTCTGAGCCCCATGTGCTTCTGAGGCCCTGCACACCCCTCCGGGCCCTTTCTAGCCAGCACCATGCAACACCCCCAGGAGTTTTCCAGGCCGCAAGGCTTTGTGAGACCACCAAAGCTCTCTCTGGCCAGCCACCACCCTCAGTCTACCTTCCAGCTGAGGGGTTCCTGAGCCTACCACCACTCAGCAAAAGGTCCCAACGATAGGGGAGCTCAGAGCTCACAGCCAGAAGCCTCCTGGCCAGGTGAAAGGCCCCCTTCTGGTTGTGCCAAAGAGATGATGGAGGAAATTCAGAGGAGGCGGAGGGATGGGATGGACAGGGGTGATGGTGGTAGCTCAGAAGACGATGGCACAACGTAACAGGATGCAGGAGGGAAAACTGGCGAGCCCAGCCTGACAACCAGGTCCTAGGATGGTCCGCCATCATCCCTGGGGGGACCACCACAGGGACCTGCGGGCAGTTGCCCTCCTTCCTTCAACAGTTGAGGCTGGAACACCTGTAGGCTGCAGGCCACTGAGGGTGGTGGGACATGGCGGTGCAGGCCAGCTGCCCTGGGGTCACAGCCTCCCGACGCAGGGCCTGGGGCCCTCCTGAGGACAACTCACAGCTCAGAGAGGACGTACGGCTCCAGGATGGCCATGGGCGGGGTGGGCGGGCGTAGCTTGCCCAGGGCCACGATGTGCTCGAAGGTGATGTCAGTCTGTGTACCACTGTCCACCAGCTGCAAGTCATGGGAGGAGCTGTCCCCCCGGAGGCGGGGGCTGCGTCTCAGCACCTGGATAACCAGTGGCTCCTTGGAGGAGCGCAAAGCCTCCAGGGTTTGCTCTTGAGACAACCTGGAGAGCTCCTTCCCGTTCACCTGTGGCAGAGAGAGGCTTGTGAGGCTCGCAGCTGGCCTCACATACCCCGGAGAGGCCAAAGCAGGGCCTCCACCAGGGCCCCGGGCCCACAGCCATGCTGTCCCTCGTGGCACCCATTACTTGGTTGCTCCTGCAGGTCATGCAGTCTGGGGATGGCTAGACACCATCGGAAGACCATGGGGACCCAAAACACCCATCCACAACTCCTCCTTTTTGCCTCACGCAGGGTCTCACTGCCCCTCAGGCTAGAGCTAGTGCCTGTGAAGCTGCCAGATGGACAGTTCAGCTGTGCTCCTCCAAGTTCAAGGTGGGAGTGTGACCTTGACTCCTCTCCCAGTGGGTGGAAATACCTGCTAGGGTTCCTGTACATGCCAAGGGGGAGGTGGGCATAGGGAGAAAAGTGAGATGCTCCAGGGCCCAGTTTTGGCCTCAAAATGCTGACTAGCAAAAATAAGCCTCTCGGGACCGCCAAGCAGCCCTTGTGAAAGTAACTGCCTGGCTGGCTGTGGCATGCCTGAGGGAGACAATAGCACTCCATTTTACAGAAGAGGAAGCTGAGGCTCACAGGTGAAGAGACTGAGTCAAGGTTATGAGCTAGTGGCCAGAAGAATGTATAAGGTCAGTCTGTGGTGGGATGGAGCTGAGGATGCATGACTAGGGCAACAAGGAGGGGTGGTTATGGATACAGCCTCTTGAACCCAGCCCCATGGACCTCATCTCGTACCAGCCCATACAGCATCCTGAGTGTATTCAATAGAAATCAGAGAATTATGTGATGTTTGTTACTGTTATGTGCCGTCAAATCACACACAAAAGCCTTAAGCCCTGCTCTATCCTGTGCCAACCTCACTGTCTCTGACACAAGAACCCCCATTACCCCAGTCACTGAATCAATCCACCTCATCAAGGGTCTTCCTCTCTTGCGCTGTCCCTCCACCCTCCCAAGCATGATGTCCCTCTCCAAGCACTGTTCCCTCCTTGCAACATGTCCAAAGGATGTCAGGCGAAGCCTCAGAATCCTTGCCTCCAAGGAGCAGCCTGGTATTATGTGATAAGTAGTGGTAAATCACTTAAAACGTGCAAAATTGTTTGGTAAAATCTTTCTGCACTAAGTTACAATGTTTTTAGTTGCATTATCAGTTGCTAAAAGAAACAGACTTTTTCTTCCTTTAAGTAACTCCATTCTCAAATTTTATTGATTTGATTTGCAAACACTAATTACTACACTATTGTAGTGGAAATACCAGAAAACTGGACAGAATTGGTGACAACACTGGCCGCGTTGCTTGTTGCGTGTACAGATAAGGACAATTCTGACCACAGTAACAGAAGGCTCCAAAAGAAATGGAAATTAGCATCGTTTTGGTTTGTCAGTAGAATGAGATGTATAAACTGAGTTTAGGGGGGAAGCATTACCACAATGACAATGGAGATGTCTCTTTAAAAAATAGTAAAGAGGTGAGCTCTGGTGGCCTAGTGGCAAGAAGCTGCACAGCAATCCCAGAGGTGCGCGGTTCAAATCCACCAGATGCTCTGCTAGAGGAGGGACAATCTCCTCCTGTACCAGTCAGCTCCGGTTTGATGGTAGTACATACACACACACACACCCCTAAAAAAATTAAAAAGAAAAAGAAAATAATAAAAATGAAAAAGAATAAATTCCTGCTGAAACACTGCTCAAACTCCCCACATCCTCCTAAGAGACACCGCTGCTAAACTGTCAGAAATTTTCTAAGTGTTAGGTGCAGCCCTTATTAACATTTCCATTCTCTAAAGTTACAATGAAATGAATTCGACAAAAAGCTAAGGCAATGACTACTCTGGACGTCTCGCTCTACGATTTTTAAGCTCTGTTTCTCATTCTCTCTGCTTTGCTCTGCGGTTACTTCTGGAATGAGGTGTCACCATGCAACCTCTCCTAGCTCCACGCAAAGTGACTTCACAGCAGCGGCTTGGCATGGCCTCAGTGGTAGGATTTACACCAGAGACACCCCCCTCCACAAATCTGAGCCTTTTGTTCCACACCATGATCCTCAGGTGGGGAAAGGGAGAGGGCATCTGTGGAGAGGCAGCTCTTGGAGGCGGGCTTGCAGCCACCAGGGACCATCCAAGCACACCTCAGGCCCTCAGGTGACAAGAGAACCACAGGAATGTCTATCTCCCTGGAATTGTTGCCACAGCAGTGTTGCTATGGAAACTGAGCCTACGGGCGGGGCGCAAGGTGGGCTGGATGTCACAGGGAGCTGGGGGCTGGGTACTGTGCATCATCAGGGCACCGTCAGGCTGTCCGCACTTGACCCACTCTTGCTGCAGGCCCCTCTGAGAGGTTCAGAGGAGAGGCCAGCCCCCTGGGTGGAGCTAATGAGGATGGAGGACCTACTATGACCCCCGTGCCCTTCTGATGGCCTGCTCTGCATGAAACTGCCACCTGAGGAGACAAGTTTGCGCTGACAAATCTACCCCTGCCATGGTCCCGGTCACCAACTGGCAGAGCTGACAGCAAACACAGTTCAATATTTAGAAAGGGATGAGTCTGGAGTTATTTGTCACTCTGAGGATGGAAAGACACATGACACAAAACCTGTTCAAAACCAAGTCCCTTTCCTCCCCAGGCCCCTCCACCAGCCCCTCCAGCCACCCCAGCCCCGGCCACCCCACAGAGACCCACAGGTATAAGCGAGGCCGCCTCAGGAGTAAACAGTTTCATTAGGACTCTGGATTAGAAAAAGCAAGCCGTAAAAGAGAAGGCCCTTAAACTTCCATGTCACCAAAGATGTTCTAGCCCTGGGAGAAGGATCCCACAATCCTACTCAGAAGGCCCAAGAGATTCTCAGAAAACCTAAAGAAAAGAATGAAAAAATAAAAATTAAAAAAAAAGAATGATGCTCGGAACACGGGCAGAAAGTCCCGAGGGGAGGTACACAGTGCACACGTGTTCACAGTAGGAACAGATGCGACACCCAAGCCAACTTCCCTTCCGCCACTGTCATCACTGCCATCCCTCCCGGGGTCGAAAGATTCAGCTGACCCGCCACCCTGCTCTCGCGTGCTCACTCTCTCTATAATGACACCTGCCAGCTCCTCAGGAGACATCGTTCTGCGTGAGCTCACTCCGCACTAGCCCACGTCCTCGCCACGGGAGCAGCATTTGCTAGTACAGGCAGTCGGGCGCCCTGAGGCCCATTTTCACAGGCTACACTCTGGATGCGGCTTGGGCCAAAGTCCAACTCGCAGTTATGTTTGTAGGAGGAAACCTACCGTCTTCCCACAACATTTCCTCGGCCTACCAGCCATGCCACTGTTACACTGTTACTCCGATTACCCCCGGGTGCTTCCACTTTAGGAAATACTCATTTATCTCTACAGTTGCGGTGATTCTCTGTAGTATTTATGGTATGAGAGGCATTTGCCTCAAAGCAAGAAGTACAAAGAGTTGAGCTAAAGACATTCCTCTAGGTCGTATAGCCCTGGTGTACAAGTTGCTGTGAGGTTGAACACCTTGACATTGATGTGTCAAATGCGTTAATGGCTGGTTACCTAATGCGGACTGAGAGTGGGGTGGAGCTCCCCGATTAAAACAAGATTGGAAGGAGGAGTGGCATCCCCTTCCATAATAGCTTGCCTCCAGAAACCCTATGAACCTGGGGAGAGGATGAAAGGCACCCAAGCGTCAAGGACTCTCCCTCATAGGGTCGCTATGAGTCGCCTGCGACTTGACAGCACTTAACAACAACACAACTACTACGTACCCTGAGCAAATTAATGGGTGTCCACCACCACATCACACATTCGAAGAACCCATCCTTATTAAAGCCTAAACAAGAAAGGAAGCAATTGCACCCCCAAAACCTGGTTTCAAGTCAACCACGTAACCATTACGACCTCTTTACTAGTGGAGATATTAGTGTAGTAAATACATAACTTTGTCAAAGTTCAAATGTAAGCTAAGCACTTATATATATATATATATCTATGGCTTATCCATGGTCACACCCTAATAACTGGGTTTCTAATCAGCTCCTTAGTCCTTTGAAAAGTAGATCAGCAAGTAGTATTACCTACAGAAGTCCCTGTCCAAATACTCATCTCATCTGAAGATGTTCTTCCCTCATAAGCCGTTCCAGCTTTAGAACTAAAACCTGACGCTATTCCAGGACGACTCGACCGAGCTACACTCTCACCCACGCGCCCAGGCCTACTCTGTGGGCCACGTTCAGAAAGCTGTGGTTCCAAACACAGTTTTACGCCCATCGTCCTAAAAACTGTTCCACTTCAACACTTGGACAACTGATTTCCCACTTTAGAAATCATTGAGAAGCCATTACAGTGCGAACATTTTACGTTAACGAAGGGGACCTCATTTCCCCACAAGGATTCTGCCACAGCTAGACACGGCTCCATGAATTAGTACTATCCTCTCACCAAGTATTCCACTTTACATGCCATTTCAGACTACTATTTCAGAACTGATTTACCCTCTAGATCCCTCTCTAAGTCTACAAAAACACACCACCCCTTGAAAAACAAAAGGAAGGACAATTTCTTTGCCTCATTTCTCCCCCTGCACATTAGCAGCTTTTCCTATTGTAATTCTAATTATCGCTTTCCCAAATAGCCTGTTTCCACAACCTAACATCTTACCAAAAACTGACAACCCTCCTTCAACAATGGTCAAAACGAGGGGAAATGGCAAATAGTGTGTAATAATTGACCCATGGAATGTACGTAGTTTGAATGCTGGAAAATAAATTTTGAAAAATTAACTGGCATGCACGAAGATTAACATACTAGGTATTAGTCAGATGAGATAGGTTAGCTTTGGTCACTTGGAATCAGATAATTATATGGTTGGTACACTATGCTGGGAACGAAAACCAGAAGAATAATGGTGTTGCATTCACAGTCAAAAAGTCAATTTCAAGTTCTATACTGAACTACAATGTTGTGATAGGATACTGTCCATATGCACACAAGGCAGGCCTGTTAATACGACTATTATTAAAATATGCACTCTGACATCTATAGCCAAAGAAGAAGAAATTAAGAATTTTTTTTTTAGAAATTAAGAATTTTGACCAAATCTTGCAGTCTGAAATTGACTGAGCATGCAGTCTAGATGTGTTAATGATTAACTGGTGACTGGAATGCAAAAACTGGAAACAGTGAGGAAGGAAGAGTAGTTGGAAAATATGGTCCTGGTGATGGAACTGAGGCTGAAGATAGAATGAGTGACTTCTGTACTGTCAATGATTTCTTCATTGCAAACACCTTTAAAAAAAAAGACACAAATGACATTCACACCCATGTTTATTGTGGCTTTGTTCACAATAGCAAAGAGTTGGAAACAACCTAAGTGCCCATCAACAAACGAATGGATAGAGAAGCTGTGGTATATTCACATAATGGAATACTTCACTGCATTGAAAAACAAGGAACTCATGCAATATTATTCAAAATGGGTGACCCTGGAGAACATTATGCTGAGTGAAGTATCTCAGTCACAAAAGGACAAATACTGTATGGTGCCTCTGCTGTAAGACAGGACTGACCTCAGGGCTGGGGGGGGGGAGACTGAGAAAGATGGGATAAATAATGTATATTGCATTGAAGCAGATGAGGGAGAAAACTGTTTAAAATGGGTATGTGACTAGGTATTTTTGTCATGATGGGAGTCCAGAGCGAAGGCTGCATAGTGGAGTGGACCTGGGGGGAGGGATTGTAAAACAATGAAAGAGTTTTTATTTTACTTTTTCAAGAGGGTAGTGTACTAGGGGGGAGGGTTTGGGAGGAGAAAAGTGCAACAATGAATGAATGGAAATCCAAAGTCTCTGTAAATTTTCATTGAAATTAATAATAAATTTTTTTTAAAAAAAGACACAAATGAGGACTTTATATGTGGACCTCACCTGATGGGCTGCATAGGAATCAGATTGACTATGTCTGTAGAAGGAATCATTGGAGAAGTTCAATATCAGCAGTCAAAACGAGGAGAGGAGTGGACTGTGGATCAGACCATTAATTCCTTATGTGCAAGTTCAAACTGAGGCCCAATAAAATTAAAATAAGTCCACGAGAACCAATATATGATCTTGGATCAATTTCATCTGGTTTTCAAGATCATCTTAAGAATAGGTTTGAGGCATTGAACAACAATGATCGAAGACCAAATGACTTGTGCTGATATCAAGGCTATCATCTAAGACAAAAACAGAAGGTCATTACAAAGACAGAGGAGAAAGAAAAACAGAAATTGATGTCAGAAGAGACTCTGAAAATCACACTAGAGTTTTGAGAAGCCAAAACAAAGAAGAACCTGCCAAAGTAAGAGAGCTGAACAGAAGTTTTCAAAGGGCAGCTTGAGAAGACAATGCAAAGTACTATAACGGAATGTGCAGAGAGCTGGAATTGGAGAATAAAAAGGGAAGAATTCACTCTGCATGTCTCAAGCTGAGAGAACTGAAAAACAAATGTAAGCCTTGAGTCACAATACTGAAAGATGTTATGGGCAATGTATTGAATGACCCAGAAAGCATCAGAAGTGTACCAAAAAGAACTGACATTGAAGAGGGGACACTACATGGTTTAAAATCAGGAAGGGAGTGTCTCAGGGTTGTATCCTCTCTCCATACCTATTCAATCTGTATGCTGAGCAAAGTATTCGCGAAGCTGGACTCTATGAAGAAGAATGTGGCATCAAGTTTGTAGGGAGACTCATCAACAACTTGCATTATGCAGATGACACAACCTTGCTTGCTGGAAGTGAAAGTGAAGAGGATATGAAACACTTGCAGCAGGAGATAAAGCAATACAGCCTTTGGTGTGGACTACATCTCAACATCAAGAAAACAAAGATTAAAAATAAATAAATAAAAAAATTAAAAAACAGAAAACAAAGATCCTCACTACAGGACGAACAGTCAGCATTCTGCTAGATGGAGAAAGGACTGACGCTGTCAATAATTTAATCTTGCTTGGCTCAATACCCTTGGTACCAGCAACCAGACAATCTGGAGACCCTGCATTGGGGAAGTCTGCTGTCAGGGACCTCTCAAAAAAAATGAAGAGCAATGGTATCAGTTTGAAGACTAAGGTGTGGCTGATTCAGGCCATGGTCTTCTGATCTTCTCAATCACCTCAGACAGCTGGACAATGAATAAGGACGACAGAAGAATTGATGACTTTAAGGTGTGGTGCTGGGGAAGAGTACTGAACATCCTACACACTGCCAAAAAACACAAACATACTGTCTTGGGAAAGGTGCAGCCACAGTGCTCCTTGGAGGCAAAGATGGTGGAGCTTTGTATTTCATACTTTGAACATGCAGACAGTAAGACTATTCCTTGGAAAGATGGAGGGTCAGTGAAGGAGAGGAAGACCTGTAACAAGATGGCTTGACAACATGACTTCAACAATGGGCTATAGTGTCAGAGATGATGAAGATGGCACAGGACAGGGCTGGTTTCGGGTCAGCAGTTCACAGGGTCACTATGAATCATACTTAACTCGACTGCACCTAGAGGAGCTTCTTGTCAATGTATGTTCTACCAAAACAACAATTTAACAAAGGGCACACAGGTCCTGTCGCAGATTTAAGGCATGGCTAAAGCCAACAAGGCTCATACACCATGTTCCCATGAAGAGCTGAGCAGAACAACAGCATGGGAAGTCTCACCATAAGACAGGAAGCAAAAAGCCCTGCTCACCCCTGCTGTGACCGTGTCATCAGTGAGAGGGAGCCTGGGACTCACGATATTAAAGACTTCTTCGTTGATGGGAACAACATATGTGTTCAGAGATATGTCTGCATTAAATATCACTCACTGGTTTTCAAAGACTAAAAGGAAATTCTTATCCATTTTCTACACGCTTCTGTAATCGACTGTATTTTATATTCAGAAAAGGAACACAGAAACGATGTTGTCCACCTGCCACCTGCCTGGTGTTTTCTTCTGTCAAGCTGAGGCTTCCAGGTCTGGTGGCCTGCTTGGTCCCTTGGGGGCCAGTGTGTGGCAAGTGAAGCCATCTCAGGACCAGTCTTTCTTCCTCCACTACCCTGAACTTCCTTTGTCCAAAGAGGTCCTATTTTTAAAACTAGAAGAGATAGTTCCCAGGAATCTGGAAGACCCAGGGAGAATGGAGGCCTTTGGGTGGGGATGTGGAGCTTCAGATAGACAAGGGGCCTGTCCTCCAAGCATCAGGCTGGTATCTATCTACCTAAATGATGGGGGACTGAACCACAGCTTCTACCCCAGTCAGCCACAATGTTTCATCTTCAACATGAAGTCCTTGAACATACTGACCCTTACCCTCTACTGCACTGTTCTCCAAGCATCCCCAGCTCAAGCTACCAAGTCATGACTGTTGTTGATTTAAAGGCAGGAGCTGGAGGTGGTCTGGTGGGAGCAGGGGGGAGAGGGGAAGGAAAAGCAGCCATAGAAAGCTGCAAGAGAGGCAAGGAGGGAGCCATGTGTTGGAGGGAGCAGCTTGGAGGAGGGAGCAAGCAGTAGGGGCTGGGAGGATGGACACTCAGCTGACTGGGGGGGGGGTGTGTGTGCTCCAGTTTATGCAAATACCAAGCAGCAGGGTGAGTGGGTACAAAGTGCCTTTCACAAGCTTGAGGTAGAGTAAAAAGTTGTAAATGACAAAGGGTTGCATAACAAAGCAGAGTGCGGTTGAGCAAAGACCTGGAGCTGGAAGGGAAGGGAACAAGAGGCAGGAAGGGGCCGGGAGGTGGGTTGGAGGATGCAGGGACTGGTAAGGATGTCAATGGGGGGAGGGTACAGGGCAGGTGGGGGAGACCAAAGGCAGGTGATGGGAGGTGGGTGTAGGTATCGATGTCAGAAGAGGCAGGGTAGTGGGGAGACAGGTGAGAGGCATGGAGGTAGCTGGTGCAAACGTGAGGGGCTTCCCGCGCGGCCGAGCTCCTAGCGCAAAGCAGGCTGGCCCGCAGCTGCAGTTGGGTGAGCGGGCAGCCGCGGCGCAGGGGCGGGGCCGGCGGGGGCGGGCCGAGCGCGTGGGCCCCGCCCTCCAGCTCCAGCCGCAGACAAAGAGCGCGCGGCAGCCCAGCAGCGAGCCGCAGCGGGGAGAAAGCGCCGGAGCGCGGGGAACGCGGGGCCTCGGACCCTGCGTGGCCGGGAGAAGGGCCCTTTCGTCCTCATTTCTAACGCGAGGAGGGAGGCTCAAAAGGTCCAAGGTTACACGATTTCTAGGAGCCCACAGTTAATGCCCGTCCCACTCTACAGATTAGGAAACAGAGGCACGGTGTGGCACAGAGCCTTCCGAGTAGGCAAGAAAAGGGAGCAGTGCCCATTAGTATCTAACTTCCATGACATTTACCTTTGAAAAGATAGGGTGGTTGTGCTGGGAAATACCTAGGGGTCTTCTCACCCCCAGCATAACATCTGGAGCTGAACAGATAAGGTTATCTACACCACTGAGCGTGCCTGGTCAAAGTCACAAGTAATGTGATGGTAACCTTCTGTGACTATGTGTCTAGTCTGTGCCCAACAACCCTCTAGCATGGTTTCTGGGTCTGATCGCATCATTACAGTGGCGGCTGCTCAGGACCGGTCGGACTGAACCGGTCGGATTCAAGCGAGGACTCACAGGGCAGTGTCTGCCCACGTGGGGCTGGCCCACCCCACGCCTCTGACTTAGGCCACCCCCCTCCGGAAGCCTCCTCCTGGGCGGGCTCCTAGTGTGGCTGTGACCCCCTTAAACCCAAGGCTCTGCTTGGAGAGGCCAGGAAAGCCCGCCTCTTCACGGGACATTTATGTTAGATAGAGGCAGGAGCTTCCGGGGACCTGCACCTGGGAGCTTGACCTGTCTGGAAGCAGGCTCATTGTAGTTCAGTGCACATGGGGTGCTACTGGAGCAGGTGGCCCTAATAGCCTTTGCACTGGCACCTCTAAAATGGGAGATGCAAACGCAGAGGGAAGACACCAGGTGAGGTCAGGGTGATGGGGTCCAAGGAAGGCAGCGTCCTCTGGGAAGCCAGGTGAACCCATCTTCTTCATACCCAACCACAAGCTACCACAAAGCTGCTCCTCACTAGAGACTGCTTCGAGTTGTCTAGAATTTCTGTCAGGCAGTCATCCTTCCTGTATCCTCCAAGGTAACTGCTTCCCAAGTACAGTGTAGGCTGGCCCTGAACCCCAGCCCAACCCCTGCAAGCACCCCAAAGGTGGGGAGATGGCAGGACACAGTGGCCTTTGGCCCAATAATACCTTCCTCTTACCCCGCTGGACTGATTTCCTTCTTAACAGTCGTCTTTCAAAAAGGCTTTTGTGTGAAGTATCTCAGTCACAAAAGGACAAATGCTGCATAGTGCCACTGTTGTAAAACAGGACTGACATCGGGGTTGGGGGGAGACTGAGAAAGATGGGTTCAATAATGTATACTGCATTGAAACAGATGAGGGAGAAAACTGTTTAAAAGGGATATGTGATTAGGTATTTTGTCATGACAGGAATCCAGAGCGAACGCTGAATAGTAGAGTGGACCTGGGGGAGGGTTTGTACGCTGAATAGTAGAGTGGACCTGGGGGAGGGTTTGTAAAACAATGAAAAATTTTTTCTTTTACTTTTCCAAGAGGGTAGTGTACTAAGGGGGAGGGTTGGGAGGGGAGAAAAGTGCAACAATGAATGAATGGAAATCCAAAGTCTCTGTAAATTTTCATTGAAAATAATAATTTAAGAAGAAGAAGAAAGGCTTTTGTGTCTTTTTTCAAAAGACAGAGTGGGGGTAGAGAACTTGAACTACCATGTGTGGGAATCCCACACCGCCCCCTGCAGAACCCTCCTGTTCAGACTCCGCGGTCTCTGATTCTGTTCACATCACATGTCAAGAGCTGGACAGAGTAGACAAGGCGCCAGGGGCCAGGGGAGGGGGCACCATGCAGCAACCTCCTCACCATGTGGGGAGACATCAGGTAGGCACTGGGGGACTCCATGGCTCGTGACGGACAGGAGTTGAGCATTTGACAGACTGTGCCGAAAGGCCTTGCGGTCAGTGGAATAAAGGACACTCGCAACGTGAGCATCTCCATGGAAACAGAGAAGGCATGTGGAGGAATCCCACAACCTTTCATGATAAAACCACTGGAAAAACTAGGAGTAGAAGGGAACTCCTTCAACCTGATAAAAGGCATATATGAAAGAACCACAGTAAACATCATACTTGATGCAGACAAACCAAGGATCAGAGACAAGGATTTTGGTCTTACCACTGCTCTTCTGCACACATGGAAGGTTCCAGCCAAGGAAACAGGACAAGAAAAGGGAAGAAGATGGAAAACCATCTCCATTTGATGAGTACATAATCTCGTATCTAGAAAACTCCAAGGAATCTATGGGAAAAAAACTATGAGAGCTATTAAGTCCAGTAATGTTACAGGAGATGAGAGTGATTACAAAAATAAACTGTATTTCTATATAATTGTTATGTGCTGTTGAGTCGACCCTGTGTACAAATAGCTCTGAAACCTGCCCTGTCCTGAGCCAGTCCCACTGACTGCGACACATCTACCATTGCCCTAGTTACTGTATCACTCCATCTCATCCGGGGTCTTGCTCTCCTGCGCTGTCGCTCCACTCTTCCGAGCATGATGTCCCTCTCCAAGGACCAGTCCCTCCTGGCCACATGCCCAAAGTATCTCAGACAGAGCTTCAAAATCTTAGCCTCCAAGGAGAGACTTGGTTTCACCCTCCCCATTTGTTTCCTTGGCGATCCGTGGTATGTTCAAGACTCTTCTCCAGCACCACAACTCGAAGGCATCGATTCTTTTTCTGTCATCTTTAGTCATTGTCCAGCTCTCTGATGCATAGCAAGCAACTGAGAAGACCATGGCCTGGATCAGGCACACCTTAGTTTCTAGACTGACATCGTTGCCTTTCAGTACTCTGGAGAGGTCCCTGACAGCAGCTTTTCCCAATGCAATTCATCTTTTGATTTCCTGACTGCTGGTACCAAGAGTGTTGATCGTCGAGCCAAGCAAGCTGAAATTGTTAACAACCTCAATCTCTTTTCCATCCATCATGGTGCTGCCAATTGGCTCAGTGGTCAGAATCTTTGTCTTCTTGAAGTTGAGCTTCAATCCATAATGAAGCCTATAGTCCTTGACCTTCTGCAGCAAGCGCTTCAGGTCCTCCTCAGTTTCAGGAAGCAGGATTGTATCATCTTCGTAACATAGGTTGTTGATGAGCCTTCCTCCAATCCTAATGACACATTCCTCCTCATAAAGCCCAGTTTCCCGAATAATCTGTTATGCATACAGACGCTACCCTGGATGTGCTCACCAGGCTGTGCCAAGAAATCTGGAGGACAACTATCTGGCCAACTGACTGGAAGAGATCTGTTTTATTCCCATTCCAAAAAAGGTGGCCCAACAGAGTGTAGAAATTATCAAAAAGTAACACTAGTCACTAATATTACACAAGCAAAATCCTGCTAAAGGTTATCCCAAAACAACTGGAACAATACATTGACAGAGAACTACCAGAAATACAAGCTGGGTTTAGAAGAGGCCATGACACTAGAGACATTATAGCCAATGTAAGATGGATCTTGGCAGAAAGCAAAGAATACCAGAGAGATGTCTATCTGTGTTTCATTGACTATGCAGAGGCATTTGACTGTGTGGATCACAACAAACTGTGGTTAACCTTGAGGAGAATCGGTATCCCAGAACACTAGATTGTGCTTATGTGAAACCTATACTTGGACCAGGAGGCAGTCGTCAGTACAGAGCAAGGAAACACTGCATGGTTCAAAGTCAGGAAAGGATTGCATCAGGGATGCAATATTTTGCATCTCCATATTTTTTTCAATCTGTATACAGAACAGATTATTCCTATACAGTAGCATTGAGCAAATAAAAAATTATAAGCAAGGACTATCTATCATTGATAAGAATATAAGAAAGATCAAACTACTTGGGAATAACTTTTAAATTTTTATTTTATATTGATTTGCCTACAAAATTTGTATACATTGTGTTTCACACTATTATTCATTTTCATTGTGTTTCATAGAATCATTCCCTAGCATTATGTTTTATAAAATTAACCACAAGTGGACTATGCCCACCATTACCCTGGCTTCTCAAGCCAGATCTTTCCCATTTCCTTTACTCCCTCCCTTCACCCCTCAAATTGTGTAACCCTGTGATTAAAATTTATTTTTGTTATTGTTGAGGATTTAAAAATAAATTTAGCAAAGTACAAAATCTGAACACGGAAAACTATATAACATTGTTGGGGGGGTGGGGGAAATGAAAGCTCCAAAATGAATGGAAAGATACCGTGAGATTATAATGAATACTCCACAAGGTGTCAAAACCTCAGCAGGGCCACAGAACTGTGTGTCCTGAATCACACATCGATCCAGCAACCATCAGAAAACCCAGGCAACTCCATGAGGGAACAACAATCTCTTCAACAAGTGACAAGAGAATAATCATGTGGAGCAAAAATCAAATAAAGACAGAGAAAAGATCCAAACATAAGAGTTTCACTTATGACACCATTAGAAGGAAAACAGAAGTACATCTTCACGGCCTTGGACTTGGCCAAGGATTCTTAGGTATAAAGACATAAGTGACAAAAGAAAAACAAAATAGAAAAGTGTTGTTTTTTTTTTTCAACAGAATGAAAAACTCTTGTGCTTCAAGAACATTCAAGAAAGTGAGATGATAACCCACAGAATGCCTGATAAGAGGCTCATCTCCAGAATATTGAAAAAAGAATATATAAAAATCTCCTGCAAATCAGTAGCAGAATAAAAGACAACTAAATTTTTTCCTCTGATTTTGGTATCAGGATCATTTTGTGTTTGTGAGATTTTAATGAAGGTTTACAGAAAGGGTGGGTTTCCTTTTTTTTTATTAAATTTTATTAGTTTTAATGAACATTTACAGAG